GCTGGGGTCGTTTGACCCCAGTACTCTTTCCTGCCATGGCAGGGGGTCAGACTCGATGATCTGCTCAGGTCCCTTCCGACCCTAGAAACTATGAAACTATAAAAAATAAACATCATGGAGTACTCTAGTGTGAATATTTAAAAATCTGCTTTCAGTGACAAATCTTCAAAACTCAGACATAACTAATGATCAGTTTTGTGAGTCTTTCCTTCTTAAATTTACAGTAGGTCAAAATGAAGGAGATTGAGTTTGTCAGCATCCAGCATGACACCAAAATGCATATTACTTTGTACTGAATCAGCCATTTCTTTGATTCTTTCTGACAGCACATAAGCTATTAATTGAATATTTTACAGAATTCCACAAATCCCACCATTTGTAAAATATGCAACAATACTTTCAAATAGTGTCCATCATTGATCACTAGCTAGCAAAATTAATAATCATAAACTAACTTGAACTAAAGTGCATATTTGTCAATGTGCTAGCTCTTTCTTTTTAACAGCTGACAAGAATTGCAGCAAAAAAAAATATACACCTGCTTCTGTAAATAATCTGTTCTAAAACCTGATAAAAAATTCTCTTCAATTTGTTTCCATGCAAATATTAAACTATTAGTAAATATTCTGAAAAACTTCTGAATTATTGACACATGAAAATTAAATTAATGCAATTTGAATTTATTTAATTTTAATTGTATACCTATATTTATATATTTACGTTTACTTTATTTGTATATATTTATTTTCTTTATTTATCTCACCACTTTAAAGGGCATGAAAAAATTGCCTCTACACTTTCTCTTGGATTCATTTTGAAAAAAAAGCTTTCCCCTTTGAAGAAAAACTGGATTTGGGAATTTTTTAGAGGCTAACTAAAGGCTATCTAGAATCTTTCCTTCTTCCCCATTTGCCTTGTACTGATGAGTTAGTTATGACTTAAGAGCTGGCTGGAGGAACTTCAGCCAAAGAACAGGAGAAAGGCCAAATCATCTCTGGGATGGTCCTTGAGCTAATAGAGTACATTGGACATTTCATAACCTAATTTCTACAGTACCATGTTCATTCAGACTATAATTTTATGTTATGTTTCCATGATATGGTGCAGTGTTGTTCAGATGCACGTGAGCTAGCTGACACACTGGAAATGGTACAGCTGTGCTACTGGGGAGCTCTGTCCAGGGTTAGCCATCATCCAAACTAACTTTGGTATTTCTACCCAATGCTGCTTGGAACATGTAGATATGTTTTAAGTGATCCAGCAATTCTGGGTACAATCTTGCTCATATCTGTACTAATGTGAAACCCCTAACATATAAGTAAGGCTTTAATGGTGTAAATTAGACTATGACCCTTGGACTCTAAGAAAATCCACAATACATTTTATCTGTTAACTATCAGAATCAAAGAACTACTACTCAACATGAAAAAAACAGAGGAGATAGATCTAAAAAGTCACATGCAGTGTTTCCAGTGAAAAATATGCATGTTGAAAAGAGCCCCCACCTGGAACCAATCAAGCGTGCAGCAGTTAACAAGAGCTGGAAATTTCCGAAGGCGATTACGGAAAGCATCTCCAATGGGACTCATTGCCAATACTACATGCAGCTGGTCTCGACAACGATCAATGAACAAGTTAAAAAGAGCTATGGGGCTACCATCAGTCTGCTTTGTTTTATCTCGCTGACGGTCTATCTGACGCATTCGCTCACAGATTTCTTGTTTCTCATCTACTGCAAAAAGGTTTGGTACTTCCCCTGCATTGAGTAAGTTGTTGATGTCTTCTAGAAATGACTCCTTTTTTATTTGAGTATCAGTGAACAAGAAAACTCCTTGCATATCACCCTCAGTTGATTTCCTTAGAATGACTTTTAGGTCTTCATGCCACTCATTGCTACCATAGCTCTTAGATATTTCAACCTGAAAAAGTGTATAATCAGCCATATGAGCTGCTAACCGTGTAAGGGATTGTCGGCCACTGCCTCCAACACCAACCAAAAGAGCGTGGCTGCGAGGCTGTTTCAAAATCCGTGAAATTCTACAGACATGCTCTATAGCAAAACGGAACAAAACAAGTTGCATAGGTTTTTTGCTCATGTTATTAAATTCCTCCAAATGGCTCTCTACAACTAATCTCAATTTGTCCACATTATTGATCTCCCTGTAGTTGGTGTCTTCTCTTCTAGGGTCATGAAAATCACAAAACATCAGGCTACGTAAGTCATCCTCTTCCACTATGCCATCAGAATTGAAGTCCAAGTTCTGAAAAAGTTTATGGAAGTCTTCATGCAAGTGATTTTTCACTACTTCTTGAATAAACCCAACAAGCCAGGCTCGATCCAAATTATCCACTAAACGATCATAATACACTCTGAGGACCTGCATAATAAATAACAACATAACAGTTTTAGAAGCTACTGCTGGCATTCTAGTCATCTAACACTAACATCTATCAAACAGATAGAAATCCGGAAAAAATAACTTCAAAGTATACAATATTTTAAATTCTCCTACATAGAAATTAAATGTTTAGAAACAATTTGAAAAGTTAAACATTATCTCCTAAATAAAAGGAGAAATCCACAAGGAAAAAAAAACACATTTACCATGTACTGAATATATGCTTTACAAAATATTATTAAAATATTAAGGTATTAGATTCTGAATTCATTCACAGCAGAGAAGGAGTCCATAAGACAATCTCTCTGCTCTGATGCTCGGAAAATGTATGAGAACATCTTTCTGTACAGCATGCATAAATACAAGCCCATTTCTAGCTATCAAAAAAGTCATAGCTCATGACTGTGACATCATTACATAGGCATCAGCTGATAAAATGATTCTGTTAAATTACAAAGGAAAAATATTTTAAGACTGATTTGGATCTTCAATTATCCATAATAAATACTAATTTCTTACTAATGAGTTTTACCTCATGGACCCAGAGACGTTTTATTGTTCCTGCAGATTCTGTTGTTTCAGGCCTTGACAGACAAACCCCTTGAACAACACGGGAGAAATCACGGAGGTTGAACAAATAATGAGACTTGGCTGGAGTGGGCAACAGATTCTTCATAGCTTCTTTGTAGACAGCCATGGTACTGTTAATAATCTGTGGAGTCAGTGCTATACATTCTTCTGGAAAGCTAAAACTGACAAATTAAAGAAAGTGTTAAGAATAACATGATTTTTCAGAATGTCATCAAACTAAACACACATATTTAAATACTGATTGATTTCTGAGGCAGTGCCAAGATTAGCATTTTCTTATACAAAGACTTATAAGAAAAACTTATACCCATCTAATAGAGGGTCTGAAGAGTTGGACCACACAGAAGTAACGACAGAGGAAGTCCCAGCTGATGGAGAGGAGGTTCAAAAGATCTCACCAAGCTAAGTGAGTGGACAAAAAATGGCAGATGAACTTCAAATGTTGACAAGTGCAAGGTAATGCACCTGACAAAAAATAACCTCAATTATATGTACAGAATGCTGGCTTCTGGACTAGGCATTACAACTCAGGAAAGAGACTCTGGATTCATTGTAGATATTTATTTTAAAACGTTAGCTCAGTGTGCAGCGGCAATCAAAACAGGCAATAAAATGTTTGGCATCATTAAGAAGGGAATTGAAAACAAAATGGAGAGCATCATCATGCAATTATACAAATCCATGGTGTGCTCACGTCTTGAATACTGTGTGCAGTTCCAGATCTAGCCTTTGAGCACTGTTTCTTTACACAAAGATGTGGATATCATCTAGGAGAAAATAGCTTTTCAAGTCTAAACACCAAAGGGGTTTTAACTAAGCAGTGAGTCACATACTGGTGTACTTTGGTCACCGGAATAAGTTTATCTGAGAGTCACCAATCTCTTTCATTGGCCATTTCCTTGTAAGAAACCGGAAGCAAACTGGCTGCAGAAAAAACTGAATCCACAGTCTAAAGAAGAAACCATATGTGTGAAGAGAAGAGAAGGGAAAGGATCCTGGCTGATCTACTTAAAAGACTGACAAAATATTAATTAAGAAAACTGAAGCAAGAAAATGCTTGTATGCTTATAGTCGTTTTAGATTTCTAACTTTCTTATATTAGTTGAAGTAGAGTGTTTGATTTTGGGGACCCTTAAAAGTCTGTGTAGCTGTTGCTTAAGCTATCAAAAGTGCCTGAATATGTGGACTGTAAACTCAAGAGTGTATATACAAGTATTACATTTAGGTTGACTTAACCAGAGTCAGGTTACTCTACATGTCCAACCATGCAGGCAAGCAGAGGGCTTAAATCGCCCAAAAAATCATGCACCCAATCAAAGTTAGTGCACCTGAGCAGGTAGACTTAGATATAAGAAAGGGTTAACTCAATCTAAGAAAAGTTTAACCTGATCTTGCAAGTGCTTGTACAGATTTGCAGTGCAGCTCTGGGGCTAAGAAAGCAAACCCACTTGCACAGCTCCAGGGCTCTGCTGTTCCCAGCCTCCCCACAACCCAAGCCTGCCTGGGTTAGTTTTAGCCCCCTGACCCCACCACCAACTGGGCACCCCCACCAACATGGACCTGCCAAACCCCTTGTGGACCTGCTAACTCCCCCAGATCCTGCCCACCTCTCCCCCCACCCCAAGTTACTTACACTGGGCTCCCTGGGCAGCTCCCAGGAGCAGCAAATAGCTGCACATGCTGCTCCTGGTACATGAAAGTAAGCCATATAAGCATAGACCAAGTGCAGGGAATGACTGTACACCCAGAGTGTACTCCACTTTTATAAGCATAAGAGTGGACTAGAGGTCTGTTTGTTAAGTTAGTTAAGCTTCTCAGGAGGATTAGGGTTGGGGGGAATCAGCTCTGGTTCAAGGCACCCAAGGAAAGTAGGCCACAAGGTCCCATTTCTGTAAAGGGATAACAGTGACGTGTGCCGGAAAGGCCAAGAAAAAAGTCAATGCTATAGCCTCCTAACATGGGAATCTTTAGAACTGGTAAATTCTACCATTAATTGTATAAGTAAAATAACTGTATTTTTCATTACTGTGTATTAAATAATGTTTTCAAAAATTCTGAATGAACTGAAATTACATGAACAAAAAAAAATTGGTTTAAAGCTTAAGTTTATACAATTCCCAACAGCATTACCTAAACATTTTTAGCCATTTTCAATATACAAAAGTCACCTACCATGTAGTAAGATGCCAATCCAAGATTCTAGAAAAAATTGTATGCATGGACTCATCATCAAATTCATTAATGGTAACTGTATTGAAATGTCGTAAGAATCGAGGAGTTATTGGGTTTCTGCCACCACCTAAAATTAGAAAGAATTAATATTAAAATTAAAATATTAAAATTAGTATTAAACTGTGTTCACCATTTTGCTGCTAAACTTCCCAGGTCAGATTCAACCATCCTGATTTACACTGAAACATACCATACTGCAAGTATAGTCCTGGTGACTGCAAGAGAAGCAGAATAAGGTAATGTTCAGTATGAATAAGGGCATCACAGTCAGTCTTTTGCAAGTGGTAACAGCTGTAAAATATGGCCAAGTATCTCCTGCCCTAACAGTGTTCGATATTACTTTAACAGCATCTCTTGTACAGGGAAAGCTTGCTTTTATAAATGTCATATACATTTCAAGCAAATCGAAAAATAATGATCAGTACTATAATACCATTATAGTTAAATACTACCCTAATTTGAGCATTGCTGGCTTTAATGGCTAATTTGTGACTTGGACTACACATCCATGCATGTAAGTAACGGAGAGCAATCCCTAACCTCTTGCATACACATATACCCTGAATGGGGTATCTGCGACCTGCTTCATGGCAAGAAAGGATAAGCTAGTACTCAGAAGTCTTTCTTCCAGCAGCAGTTGGGCAGAGAGAGGGTGGCACCTTTCATGCCCACTTTTCATCAAATTATATGTTAGCCTTATTTGAGGTTAGCATTATTGAGGTTTAGTGATTACTGGGATGAGGACATTAACACACATACACCTTTGTTCAGTGCTTTGACTAAAGGCACAAATGAGTCCATAGGTATGAAAACAATTACACTTGTAACCAAAAGGTTAACTTTTTAAAAATAAATACAAATATAAATTATGATTTCTCTTAGTAAATGTAGCATTAATAGTGACAGAAATGCTGAAGGTTATTTTAATAGCAGCATCTTTTAGACCCTGCCTTCCCTCTCACTATCACTTACCCTCTGGCTCCAGCTCTAGTTTCAGCTCCAGCTCCTCTCCAGCCAGAGCAACAGAGCTTGCAGCTGCATGGCCTGGCTGGGGCTGGAGTAACCATGTGCTCTGTGCCCTGAGCTGGAGTAGGACTGGAGCTGGAACCAGAGGTGGAAGATAATGTCGGCAGGGGGCAACCAGGGGCTGCAGAGGCAGCACGGGCAGGCAGCAGCTCCAACCCCCACCCTGGGTTGGGGCCAGAATTGACACCCTGACATCCCGCTTATGCACAAATTCAAGACAAGGAGCTTGCCCCCCCAGGTTAAATGGGGGGAGGAGGGGACTTGTCTTGGATTCGAGTACACATGGTAACTCCGTGTATTCTACAAATCAGTTACCTATGAAGAGCCACTAACGTAAATGCTTGACCACAAACAAATGAAGCTGTGTTATTCTTTGAGGCAAAACAGTTAGGAGCAGATCATTTCCCTCCACCAGTTTAGCAGCAATGTCAGTGAAAAGCAGGCACACAATTGCCTGAGGAATCCCCAGCATAAAAAAATCCCTAGGGCATGTACTGCCAAGACAGAAAGTTCTAACCCTCCATCCTCCCTTCTTGACCAAAGAATAGGGATGTAGCACACAGGAGAAGCTATAGCTCAAGTTTTTCCATGTTTCTGCTATCGCCAGCCACAGAATGTGGACTATAACTGCTCAAGATACCTGGAGCCCGTAAAATTTCAAGGAAAACTAAAAATGGCTTACACATTTCAAAGAAAACTAAAAATGGCTTAGGATTGCTTTTGTGTGCCTTCTTGTGCAGCTGAAGAATGGTTGCATGCAACCCCTGCCCATAATTTAAGAAATCTGTAATGTAACAGTTAAGTTCCTTTATGGAACCAGATAGCTGACTAATAGTGACTCCCTCCCTCAAAAGATAGACAACACATCCCTACTCAAAACAAAGGCACATGTACATTGGCAAAGTGTTTTCTATAGTTTCTGTTTCTAACAGTTTATGTGAAAGGGAAACGAGAAAGACAAGAAGAGAGAAAAGGTAGCAAGTTAGAGTTTGAACCAGCACTGGGAGGTATCTAGACTGTGTTGACTGAAAGGCTTTGAAGTTGCATGCAAAGATACTGTGTGTAGACATAAGTAACAACTGAAATATTTCCTAGTGAATGAGCATAAATGCTTTGAAAAGAAAATGTTTCAGCTAGGGGAAATATGTAAGAGCCCTGTGGTACCTCCTGGTTAGAATATTTCGAAATTGCCACAGCTATTTCATCCCCCAAGTACTAGAGCAGCAGGGGCCAGGAAACTGGATCTGAGTGACAGCTGCAGACTTTCCACACCACTCTCCCTGTCTGCCTATAGAGAGAACTGTGGGATTCTGGAGGACCTACGGGTTCCCCTGTCCCTGTACACACATAACAAGAACTGAAAAGCTTCGAAGTAATACCTGATTTTAAAGAGGTATGATTTTGGAGCACATCCACTATTTTTGTATCATTTCAAAAGGAATGAACATTTGTACAGCTGGCTTTACATTTGTAAAGGTATTTGAAATGTTTCAGCTGTTACTTTTATCCACACTTTCTATTGTTTGACTTCAGCCGAGTACAAAGAAACAGATTTCCAGCCAGATGTCTTTACCTAGCTTTCAAATATCCAATGAAATCTTTATTTTATATGATAACTTTTTCTACTACCAAATAAAGCTGAATTTTTTTCTCTTCAATATCTCCAAATAGTACAGCTTAGGAAAAGGGGGCACATAGACTCTATGCTATCTGAGGTTCCTTCTTTACCAAAGAAACTTCCAAATAACCTGCTTAAATAATTTCTGGATGACTGCAGTTTAAGTTCTACTGACGGAGAAGTTCTTTGCCCCAAGTCCTAGTTATGGAGTTCTCACTGCACTGTGCTTCACAAGCCGCATTCTCTACATCCAATCCCTTTTCCCACATGTGTGTGCACAAGCAGGAAAAGTTCACATGCCTCCTACAGTCAGGATTTGGCCTGATGCAGATCATAAGCATGCAGGACTATTGTATTTTAAAGTTGTTTTTTGGAGTTTTATTCTCATACAAAAAAACCAAACAAACCTGATTCTCATGTCTTACCTGGAGGTCCCATTGCACACATGATCTGAATATCCACAAGTTTGATCATAGAGCAGTCTTTCAGGTCATACCAGTTCCAGTGATCTAGCCACTGACGAAGTAACTCAACAGGAGGTTGAGCACCATAGACCTCTCGTGCTGGCATATTTACATCATCTACAAAAACAACCTGAAAATGGAAATATAAAGAGATTCAAGCCACTCATGCCCAAAATCAAGTTTACTCACATAGGGCATCTATACACAAAGAGGGCGCTTTAATTAGGAATAAAACTCCAAACTCTCTGACAGCTGCGCTAATTAAAGCATCTGCAGCATCACATGTACAGGCACACCTCGTTTTATTGCGCTTCGCTTTATTGCGCTTCACAGATATTGCGTTTTTTACAAATTGAAGGTGCTGTGAACATTGTTGAAATGACAACAAAGGATTTAGAATAGTACATAAACTTAGTTGATGAAGCAGTGGCAGGGTTTGAGAGGACTGACTCCAATTTTGAAAGAAGTTCTACTGTGGGTAAAATGCTATCAAACAGCATTGCATGCTACAGAGAAATCTTTCGTGAAAGGAAGAGTCAATCGATGCAGCAAACTTCATTGTTGTCTTATTTTAAGAAATTGCCACAGCCACCCCAACCTTCAGCAACCACCACCCTGATCAGTCAGCAGCCATCAACACTGAGGGAAGACCCTCCACCAGCAAAAAGATTACGACTCGCTGAAGGCTCAGATGATGGTTAGCATTTTTTAGCAATAAAGTATTTTTTAATTAAGGTATGTACATTGTTTTTTTAGACATAATGCTATTGCATACTTAATAGACTACAGTATAGTGTAAACATAACTTTTAAATGCACTGGGAAACCAAAAAATTCGTGTGACTCGCTTTATTGCGATATTCACTTTATTGCGGTGGTCTGGAACCAAACCCGCAATATCTCCGAGGTATGCCTGTATTCAGTATCCCATGTTTCAAAATGGCAGTGGGGGCACATTAATTAAAGCTTGTTTGATGAGCTTTAGTTAAAGCACCCCTGCCACCATTTTAAAACACAGGGACACTGAATATTTGTGTGTGGCATGGCACCTTTGGGTGCCCGCCACTTTAAGGGTGGAGGCAGGCTACCAGATGCCTGATGAGGGCAGCCATTTTGAACAGGACATATAAAGGCTGCAGTCTGCTGTGGCCAGAGGAGGCAGAAGCATCACTTGGCTGAGCTGAAGCAGTAACAACCTTGGAGATAAGGGCAGAACCTTATGGGGATGCTTTAGAGGCTCCTGGTCCTGGGCATGACCTAAAACTGTACCCTACCGGGGAAGGGTGGCCTGGTGGGACTCCAGGTGGTGCGGGAGTCCCCAGGAAATGCCAGGCCAGTTACCTCCCCAGTGAAAGGTGAGGAGGGGCACCTTAACCCCAGTCCCCATCTTCGGGTGGGCTTTGGAGGCAGCTGGGGAAGTAGTGGGGGCCAGGTATGCCCACGTGTAGGCACCTGAGCCCAGCAACGATGCAGATCCTAGAAACCCCAGAGGGGGTAGTTTGTGGGAGTAGTGGGGGCCAGGTATGCCCATGTGTAGGTGCCTGAACCCAGCAGGGATATAAAGTCCCAGAGACCCCAGAGGGGGTAGTATGAAGAACACTGGGAGGCCCTGCAGAGAGTAGGGCTGAAGTGCGAGTATGTCTGAAGGACAGCCCGAGGAGTGCGCTGAGTAGGGTCAAATGAGAGTAAATTTGAAGGACAGCACAAAGGCCAGCCCCATGAGAAGTTGTGCCCAGTGAGAGGCTTGGGGCAGAATTAGCCCAGGGTTTAGCATAAGGCCAGCCTACATAGAGTAGGGGAACTTGCAGGAACCAAAGGTTCTGTTGTGGCAAGGCCAGTATGCGAGTAGCGAAGCCTGATGGCCCAAGAGGGGCCGCTCAAGGAGAAGTAGGGCAGTGGAGTGTGGCCCAGTAATGGGCAGTATGCCACAGGCTCTGGTGAGAGAGGGGTGGAGTGGAAGAGGCCTCCCGAGAGAGGGGAGGTGGTGGTTGTGTGTGTGTGTGTGTGTGTCTGTGTGTAGCCCAACTTTGGACTCAGTTTGGTCCAGTTTCAGACTGGCAGTAATATTAATCTGGATGCCAACTGCGAGGCATGGGCTGTAGTGTAGGGAAGGTCAGAGCTGCACATAGCGCCCCCTGGCATCAGGGCAGCAATGGGTAGTCTCCCACAAGTACCATCTGTATATGAGAACATCAAAGTCATGGCAAGAAGGATTGGGTGGATTGCCCATAGAGACAGGTGGGTGGGCCAACATGAGACCCGGCCCCAGGAGTTGGCACTTGTCACATTGTGGCACACTAATTAGCTGCTGGAGCACACTAATTAGCACACTCCCGCAGACTTGCAGCAGACTCAGTTAATTAAGTCTGCTCTGATGCATACTAATGAGAACGCGTCAGAGCAGAGCTCCATCACATGTATAAATGCCCACAAGTACAGGCAGTCCTCAGACTTACGACACATTGGTTCCTGAAAACCATGTCTTAAGTCGAAACATTGCAACTCAGAAATAATTTTCTCATAAGAAACAATGTTATAAATGGGGGATTTGTTCCTGAACCAAGGCCCGATACCCTATTTTCACCAAAAATACCCCAGAATTTTGTACTCGATCAATTATAGATGAGTAATATAGCTACATTAATGTATTTATATTGTAAATAGCAATCATATTGATTTGGAAGGATTTCTTTGAGGTGACTTTGCTGGATTTTTTGAAGGGCTCTTGGTTGGACTTTTAGAAGGGTTCTTGGCTGGAGTCTTCTCAAGAGTCTTAGCTGCAGGTTTTTCTGGAGTCTTGTCTGCTTTCTTAAAGAAAATGTCCAAGGAAGTTTGGACAGATGTTTTCCAGGGTGATGAGCGACGCAGCGAACTTGTTTGCTGGTGTGACGTGGCGTCAGATCAACCATTGTAAGTCTGACGTCATAAAGTTGAAACAGGGTGTCAATTTATAAACGTTGTAAGTGCGAAACATTGTAACTCGAAAGGTTGTAAATCAAGAACTGCTTGTAGTCTAGTTCAGTTCAATGGGAGAACTCAGCAGTGTTCATTTCAAATAAGATAATGCCCAAGCAATAGTATTAGACAGATGAGCCCTATGCCTTCAGTGGAGTTACTCATGACTTTAAGGAGAAATGAAAATCAGGTTTAACAAACCTTAGTCATAGCTGTGACAAGCTAAAGCCACCAAAACATTTCAAGAAAAAAAATTAAGAATAAGCATTTTTTTCTCATAAATGTATTTAATACTCATGAAAGATATCAAACTGGACCCTTGCTTTCCTGTTTATATGCCTTAATCCTGTTTCCAAACAGCAAATTAGGGAATAATTCCGAGCAACAGCAATCTTTAAATTCATTAAATATGGAATCTCTCCTTTGGGAGGTGTAAAACCAAGTAAATTGTTTTAAAATATAGCATGATTTATGATGAAATTTTAATTCATTATACCCCTTGAACTGGTTCTGGACACATTATTCACTCTACTCTCTTTCCTGCCTGTCCTCCAACTGGACCAGAATAGCCATGTAGATTCTGTTTGCGTGTAATTGCACAAATTTCTCCTGTGGATGAGGGTGAGGGAGATTAGGGGATGGAAACTAGAGGGATCTAAATTTAGGAGAATTATAACTCATTTAGATTAAAATTGCATTTAGATTAAACTTGTATTAATTATTTCTCTCCAATTTTAGTTCTGAACACAGTTAAGAAATAAAAGTATTTAGATCTATTTTGTTAAAAAATAGATTTCAGTTACCATTCTCTTCCCAAGAGGAGGTCCAAAAACTCCCTTCCTTCGTTTATCCAATTTTGACATGATAATATTCTGTGTCTGAGCTGCAGTAGTTTGTGCTGAGAAGTTAATAAGAAGTGGCTTGTAGACATTTTTATTCAAGTGATTTAAAAGAAAATTCTGCAAAGATGGCAAAGAGAAAAAAGATTGAACTAGCTGTGTATATAAACCTGATATGTTAAATCATTTCAGTAAATGTCACATGATTAATATTTTATTGTCAATCATTTTTATACCAACTTCTCAAGTAATTCAGTTTAACAGTGATAAGTGATCCCTGAACATTAACATCTAGAACTTTTAATTAATGCTATTTAGATAAGTCAACATTCTCAGGATAATTCAAAGCAAATTTTTCAGAAATAGAACACCTACATCATATCACGGACTTTTCATAAATTTTTCTCAGAAGATCTATGTAATTACATCACACAAATTTAATTCAAAATTATGTCATTACAGCATAGCATTTTATAATATTAACTCGATCTAATTGATTTAACTTGTATTACTTGCATATGCCTAGTTCCAATTTATACAAAAGGATCCACAAGTATGAACCTTTATGTCATTGGCTTCAATGAAACTCCATGCAGGCTTAACAGCATATGCTTGCAGTTACGTTTGGAAGTACTGGGACTCCCAGAATAGCAAAAATATATAACCACGTTCAGCCTTATTTACTATATTAATTCCAGGAAAGCCAAAAGCCAGACTCTGAAATAAACTCCCTCCAGAGGTGGTGCAGTCACCTACCCTGGAGGTTTTCAAAAAGAGACTGGACAGTCACCTCGCTGGGGTCATCTAACCCCAGTTGTCTTCCTGCCTCGATGATCTGTAAGGTCCCTTCCAGCCCCTAACAATCTATGGATCTATGAATCCATGAAAAGATGGCAAAGGAAATAATCAGAGAGAGGCAGTTAGTGTTAGTCTGAAGTCAAGCAGAAGGCAGGGAAGGGTGGCAACTTAGAGACTAATCCATAAAGAGAAAATAATCAAAACAGTATTTACAGATTATTTTTCTTGAACATGCTTTGGAAAAGTTATTAAATCATTAAATTTAGGCCAATTAATCTTGAAGCACGTTTATTATTAACTACATTTTACATACCATAAAAAATAAACAAAGAAAGAAATAGAATTTCAGGACAATAAAAATAAAGGCCCCTGCAGACGTGCAGGTAAAGTTGCAATGGGATCTGATATGCAAACTACAGAATCATACTTCCCTGCCGTGCCACACATGCATGGCAGGAGGAACAACTGTGGGACTGCACATCAGATCCCACCATGCCTTATCACAATCCTGGGCTCCCCCTGCACCGTGTGGCTGGGAGTCCCCTCAGCTGACAGGGCTCCCACCTGCAGATGCACCTACCCACATGTTCAATTAATTGAATCATGGGAACCAGCCACCAAGTTATTACACACTTTTTGAGGAATGACTTTGTGGTTTATTCCTTGTTTTATGATGCCATTAATTGCTTTAACATGTGATCAGGTTACAACTTAAGATATGATTAACTGGTTAATCATGCCTGAAGCGTAATATGTGGCAGGGAGGGGCCTAAATGTTTCATCAGTTACAAAACTAGCAGTAATATGCTAAAACGTTTAAAATCACGATGAATTATGTTCTAATTAAGCAATAAGTTAAGTAAATATGTACTCTGATCTTAAATATCAAAGTAGGCACTTCACATTATTATAGTAGTTGCCAGTTTTGGGGTACATGAAGTAATTGAAGGAATGTCTTGCCAGTGCAGGGCAGAACAGTCCAAGGAAAATAGCCAGGGTTTGGCTTTGGACTTTGTCCTACCCCTCCATCTACAAGCAACATGTGCCCTTATCTGGCACGTGGTGTCCACAGCAGTCTACAATGCCAAGGCCAGATTATGCCTCCAGGCCTACATGATTTATAGGAATGTACCCTCACAGCAGAAGGCAAGATGTTGTCCAAATCTAATAGGCAGTTGCTGTGTAACAATCTCCCCTGAAATACTAACTATTACAAATTCTGTGTATGGGGCCCCATGGTAATAAGAAAAGTCAAAATCACCCTCGCTGCTCTGGGATGCACAAGCAGAGCTATTAGGAGGTGTCACAGGGCACTAAGGTGCCTGCTCCTTTAAGGGCTGAAACTGCCTAGGGAGAGAGCCCTACCAGTCAGGCAGGAACCCCACAGGTGCAGGTTACTGTGGCAGCAGGCCTAAGGAGGAAATTAGCCTGCACCTGCAGCCAGTCAGCTGACTGGAAGAGGCAGGTCCCTGGGCCCATATAAACCCCAGGGCTGGGACTAGAGTCAGTTCCCTGCCAGCAGCCAAAGAGGAAGGAGCCTCCAGGGAGGAATTGCCCAGAGACGCTGCAGCTGCCTGGTATGCTGAACTTAGGGCTAATGGGGATCCAGGAGTTCACCAGGTACCCTTGACTAATAGACACTTAGTGCCAGGGAAGAAGTTTGACTCTTTTAAAGGGGCAGAGCACACCCTGAACTTTTTGTATTATGTTATAGCCCAGAGGCTCATATTTTAGTTGCTGCCTTATAACACCAGAGGATCAGACTAAAGCTGTTGGGAAAGGAGGAGGCCTCATTGGGGGCCCACTACAGTGTGGGGACCCCAGCACCAGTGTGGGTGCAGGATTCAGGGGGGGAACAGACCCAAGCTCCAGGGGGTGCCGAGAGAAAGAGAGACAGGGCTGCGGAGAGCCCAGTGATTACCGAAGGCCAAGCTAAATTAAGGCCTTGGAGGGACAACAAGTGAATACCATCTGCGAGGCTTGGGGTATGGTAAAGGGGCGGTATGGAGAGACGTATCTAGCCCATAAGGCTAAGGGTGTCCTGAAAGGCATCCATTTTGGAGCGGGACCCAAAAGGGGTCCAAGAACCCACAGGATTCAGTGGGGTCACAAATTTGAGGGCAGCCTCCCTATTCCTAATAATCACCAACAAGACGTGGCAGATGAGAAAGAGGGTGCAGGACTGGCATAGTCAAGGAGCCCTAGGGGTATCACAGCCATCCTTGGGGGCCCCATTCCATGACAGGAGACCACACATAACCCAGAACAGGTCCCTAGACCCTAGCTGATTGTCACCTGTACATCTCAGCAGCAGCACTGCATAGCACTACTTACTGGTTTACATTTTAGCCAAAAGGTTCACAGAACCAAGATTTCTGTTTGATGAATTAGAACTGATTACACCTTTTCTTCACGCAAATGAGGATCCTTTTCCTGTTGTCCAAAGAATATTCTTTTAATAATCAACTGACAAAATTAAAATGAACAAAATGCCACTCATCCCTGAAGATGAAGAAAGGAATTATGCTGCCTCCAAATAGTGACGAGTCAGTCATTGCAAAATCCTAATAAAATCTGCACTCAGCTACACAGTCTGCCTTATCTCTTAAGACAGATAAAATAATGGCTGCCTCTAGATGTACTCATTTGTGTTCTAATAAAAATGCTTCAGTGTTGCCTCTCTGTGACATATATTAAGCACTCCCCATATTTCAAAATGACTGTGGGGGTGCTTTAACTAAACCTTGTCAAATAAGCTTTAGTTAAAGCACCCCGTGGCCATTTTTAAAATGTGGGGGAGGGCCCAATTCATATGACAGTGAGCCATTTTAATTACAGTAGCTGTCCAGGAACTGTTCTAATTAAAATGCCCCCCACCACCTCCATGCACATGCCAATGACTACAGCGCCTGTGTGCAGCCCCTGGCCAAACAGCATGTGGGCTGCACACTACCAGTTGGACTCTGCTGCCCTATAATAAATGCTGCCACTTTTACCAGGTCTGTAAGAAACAATATTTAATCTCTGAGGCTTCTTAAGTGGTTCCTGCTAACTTAGGAAATTTATTCTCCTGGTCTTTAGCCACAATTTCATCTGGAAGGCTACACTGGAGTCTGATAGAGCTACAGTGTAGTACTCCACAACCCCTTAGGATTGTCTTTTAACCCTCACTTAAGATTGATTAATGAGGTTTTCTACAGGGATAAGAACTAATGTCATATTGTTCCCATGGGTTCTTTGCTTATTTGCCTCTCCAAGCACTGCCCTTCTCCCCAACCCTCCCCTCTCTCCTCTCTCCTCTCTTCCTGCCTTTTGTATTCAAGTTACTCTCCCCATTTGAGACATTGCTCTGCGCATGTCCTTTCACAGCATCTAATGAAGTGAGCTCCAGTTTACAAAAGCGTAGGTTTTATGAATCTATAATTCAGTTAGTCTATAAATTGCAAATCTACCCTACCTTCTGCTTGACCTCAAACTAACAAAGCCAACTTTGAGCTTTGCACATAGCTCTATAATTTCCTGTCATTTACATGGATAACTTTGCTAGGGAATAGAGATTTGTTACCATTAAAAAAAATTGTAGGCAGTTCTTAAGGTCAGCAATTCAACTCTAAAAAGATTTCTACTTCTAAATTATTACAAATATTTGTAGGTAGAAGACAGGGTAGACATGCACTTTATAGACTGAATCACAGATGCATAAGCTTTTGTGAGCAAGAGCTCACTTCATCCGGTGCTAATTTGCATCAGAAAGCTTATGCTCTGTTAGTCTATATTCTTAATAATGGAATAGATGAAATACTATACAGCTAGGGTACGTTTCTAATCTCTAAATTTATTTTTGTATTGTTTTAATTACTTAAAGACAAACAAAATCTCTCTCTCTGCCAAAAACATAAAACTTCATGAATACTCTAATAGGGATTTTCTGCAATAAGTAGTGATAGTCTATTGGAAATTTTAATACACTATACATCTGTATTGAAAAATCTTATGCTTTTTTCTGTAGTTTAAAAGTTAACTGTAGAATGAATGCATTTAATTATTTTTCTTTCCCAATACACTGGGGTTTTTTTTTCAATATCTATAACCTCAATAGATTAACAAATCTTGGTTTTCTATCTTGTAAATGTTACAATAACAGATTATATTATTACACAACAGATTATCAAGAAATCTGAGCTTTGACACAGCACTATATAATATGCAATAGTTTTGTTCTGGCAAAGAACAAATCATAAACTGTTTTGTCAGTCAGGCTGTCTGGTATATCACTAGTCAGCCTAAACATAGTAATTTCAGATGGAATTTGATGCCTAACATCCCCTTTTTACCTGACTCCTTGTACTAGAAAAATACTATAGAAATAGTATATTAGAACTTTAAGGGCTACTTCTTCTTGTAAGTATCCCCAATAAGAAGGAATACTTGTGCTAAGAATAATAGCAGCAGCCAGATACTACAATATAAGTTCTACAAAGCATTTTGGTGATATCAATAAACTATAACAAAAAAACTTTAGGCTTCATGTCAGAAAAGGACATAAGTAGGTGTTCAACTTTAAAATCAACTGGAATTTACAATGTGCTTTGTTAAGCAGAGCACCTAGATGGAATTTCCTTAATCACGTGTTTTTCATGCATGACACATTGTGAGAGAGAGAAGGAGCCAGCAGGCTCCAAGGACCCCGGCAGAAATTCCCCTTACCCAGGTGTGTTGGGAAGGGAGGGGCCGATATTTCCCCTGCTGGTATAAAGAGGCCGGGACCGGAAAGCAGGGGCAATGCAGAACCGGAAAGAGGAGGAGGAGGAGGTGGAGCAGGCCGGCGCACACTGAAGGGAACGCTGAATGTGATGTTGAATGCTGGTAGGAGCCTCTGGCAGACAGCAAAACCCCAGCGGGGTTTTGGAGCCCAGTTTACTGGCCTCTGCGGGGAGTAGAACTGTTTATTTACCAGCCGGGAGCTGGCTAAGCCCGGCAAGAGAAGGGTACCGTAAAAACCCTAATAGAGGGGCACTATTGACTTTGGGTACCATAGTCCCTGTAATAGGGGCAGAGATCAACAGTGAACTTAAGCTGTTAAAAAGGAATCTCGTCAAGCGCTATGGGGGTGCTCTCCGAGAGCCAACAAAGGGGTGCCTGACCCCTCGAAGGTCAAGTTTTTGTTGAAAGGGGGCTGCAGACAGACGGAGCAGCTACCCAGATCAAGGGAGCCTTATTGGTCGTCGTGTTTATTTTAACTGACTTTTCTTTGTGGATTATCTGTGAGGAACTGAGGATACGTGGCCGGACCAGCTGGTTGGCCACCACCCGGTGGAATGGGTGAGGGTGTAGGGGTGGCGGAGCCCTCAGAAACTCAGGACCTCGCGAGACGCTGGGGAGACTCATAATTGGACTACACGCTGAGACATCTGAACCAACTCCATTAACATCAAAGACGTGGCAGGCAAAACGTATGCGTGTAAGACCCCAATTACAGCGGACGACACCCTAGGCAAGTGGCAGGAGGCGTCTGCTAGGTCCACAGGGGCGGTGATATCCGACACACATTAGTATATTTCAATTTAAATAATAGACCTATATACTGGATTCCCATCGTATCTTCTTTGCAAATTCCACATTCAGATGGCATTCTTACATTTGTATCTCACCACCATTACGGATGACCACCAAATTTGAAAGTTTGATGAGATGAGATGCAAATCTTTTCTTCCTGCCTTCCCAGTTGCATTGGATAAACAAGGCACTGGTATTTGAAATTTAATGAAAACGTGGTGAATTGGTCAATCTAAATGTTAAAAAACATAGCACTACCATTATCCATAGTTTTGCTTCATAATATCCATTCACTGGCTTTTTACTTTGCTTTGATCAACAGTTTTGTCAGTTTATTCCTTACCCTACATATTTTAAACAATAAATAGCTTAAGTTTTAAAACTTACTTACAATAATATAGACACTCTTTCCAGTTCCTGTTGGCCCCACAAATACAGAAGGTTTTTGATGCACTGTCAGCAATTCCATTAGAGCAGAGTATCGAATAGTATCCAGAGTTGGTACAATGATTTCATTAAACATCATATCGCAAGGTATTGGAGGAGCCAATTTGAGTGTTTCTACCCATGGCTCCCATATTCCCTCTCCCTGTTTTAATTTATAAAAAAGTCAAATGTGTAATAATGAAAAGCAAAAAGAAAAGAGATCTGCACTGATACAGGAGACTATATCTCAAATAAAACTTAAAGGACAATCAGCTATAAAAGTTGTTTCTGTTCTTACTCATATTCATGTGAGTATTGAAAACCAGACTACTCTTAGTGTACTGTAAGAAATTATACTTAACCTGATTTAGTGCTGACCATTCAGAGTACTACAAAAGAAAAGTGGAACATAGGAGCAAAGACTAAAGGACAAGGAGGGCACATCTAGACATGATGCTACACTGCCATAGCAATTCACTACAGGAAAGTAGTGTTGACAGGCAAAAACTGTGATGCTGCAGCTACGTCAACATAGCAACATGGTCTGTCATTATAGCGCACCGTTATGGCAACATACCAGCTAAAAATAACCGTGCAGCCAGAAGAGTGCAGTATGGGCTGTTACTGTGCTGTCATTTAGTACTTTCAATAGGAAGTACTATCTGACGGTGCAGTAACAACGGCACCATACGGCCACGTGTAGACATGTCTGGATTGTCTTAAATAAAACAAATATACATTTTGAACTTCCTGACTAAACTTATCATTTAAGAAGCATATTTTTCTTTCTAAGCTCTTCCCTTCAAACTCAATCACCAAAAGCTGTGATGTGCCATCAACTGATCACTAGCAGTGACCATTAGCAGCTTGATAGAATAAACACATAACCCTAAAATAATTTCATATCCTAGTCTCTCTTTAGAGAAAAATTTCAGCTTGTTCTAAATTATATCCAACTCAGCTCCAGATTATCAGGTTGGTTTGAATATGGAAAGAAGCCATTAATGAAATGAAATGAAAATTATTATCATTCTGCTACATAGTTCTCTCCTCATTCACCATTAAGCAGAAGTACTGAACAGTGGGACACAGAAGCAAAGGATAAGCAGAAAAACAATAGTCAGGAAAAGTTGTTTTCCCCATATACAGCAAAAGCTACCAAAAGACCTATCTGATGTTTCTACAATGGGGAAAGTTTAGACAAATTCCAGGATCTACTTTTCAGGTAACTAGGATGGTCACTTTGCACAGAGGATGAAAAAGCTGACCATTCCTTGACTGAATGAGCTCCCAACCTGAGCATGTTATTCTAAGACAGTGGTTCTCAACCTTTTTACACTCAATATACCCCTTGTCAGACTCAAGGCACATAACTTTTGTGAATTAAGTGACAGCCCATTTCAAAAACTAATTACAGTAATTACTTTCTTATAGAAGGGCTAGATGATGGGGGCAGGGAAGTGGCCAGGCAAGAACGAGCTTGCCCTTATCTGCTCACACTTCCTGTGGTACCTTTCAAAGAATCTCCCTGCACCCCAGGATACCCCAGTACCCTGGCTGAGAATCGCTATTCTAAGCTATCTTGGTAAAATGTTAACAATGACTGGTCCATGATCTTCTCAGAAAAAGATAAAAACAATCGTGGAGAACTCTGAAGTGATGAGAACTCTGAAGCGATACCTCTTTTGAGATAGAAGGAATTAGAGTGTGTCATACAGTCCTTGCTTTGTTAAGAATTAGGATTAGGAAAGAATGAGGAAAGGTGGATTGTCTGATTTAAGAGACATTCCATGACTACTTTGGGCAGAGCCTGGAGGTGGCAGCAGCAGTAGCTGAACTGCTTGTGCCCTCTCCAAATGGGTCTCCAAGGCTGATGCCCAGATTACCCCATTATTATACTACTAATTTTAGGTCAGAATTTGGGACAAGACTTAAATATCTTAAGTTTTGTCTGCTTCCTGACTTGAGGAAGGGCATTTGGTGCCTAAAAGATTGTCTAACCTTTCCCCCTTGCCTACCATCTCCTGCTGGGCCAAAGGAAGCTGCTAAAGAGATGCTGTACTAGAGAAATTAGAACCTCAGTACTCCAGTGGATCCTAACACAGAAGAGGGAGAGAGGACCTAGAAAGTGAAATAAAGTTATAACTTTACACATAAAAGTGAAAAAGTTGTGTAACAAAGTGGATAGGAGAAACTATACCAGAAGCTGGAATTTCTGCCACCAAAGGAATTCAGCTGTTGTAAACTGAAGTACTGAAACCTCCAGCAACAACACTGACTATCTCTGACTTCTACAGGTGGAATACATTGTCCATTAGCAATAAAAAAAACTGTGCAGGAGAAATGAATTATAGTAGTAGTAACATCATATAATATTCAAAAAAGATCAGTTTGGAATGGGTGATCAATTTGTGTTGTAATCCTTACCTTTTTAACAAATCGATAATCATAAATTGTTCCCTCTGTGGGAAATGGGACTGTGAAGGCCTTTGAAGCTGGCTGATCAATACTGCTCAACAATTTATAACATTCTCTTGTCTCATCACTAATCGGTCCATCAAGGATTTCTCGCACAAGCTTATCAAATTTTAGTCGATCATCCTCCTTACAGCTAGCTCCCACAGACCAAGTCAATGAAAACAAGAAAATACCCTAGTATAGAGAAAATAGAAATATAAAATATCAGTAGTTGTGTGTTTACAATATACCTATTTTTTGTTCATTGAAATCCATGAGCTGCCATGGAAGTAGACTAAGCCAAATATTAACATACAGAAGTAATGAAATATGACAGTAAGTTAAATAAACAGATATAATATTACACTTACGATCTCTTCTAATGGTTTACAGCACCCTGGAAATCCTGTTATATCAACATGTGATCTTATTTATTGATTCTATTTAAGAAGGCTATTCACTTTTTATTTATTTACTGAATGCCAACAGGTGAAAAAAATAGAGAGGCTTAGACTCCTTATCTAAAGCTCACATTCTTACAGAAATAATGCAATACAGAAATATAAACACGTAAACATGACCCCTAAGCATATACATAGCTTGCAGAAATTGGGCCTTAACTGGTGCAAAGTTGCATAAGAACAAACATACATTCCTCAACAGGGCCATCCTCATGATGAAGACTGGAAGTAAGAGAATAACAAGAAACTGTCCCTCCATGGGCACCTGGCCATACACACTACCCATCTGGGTAAAGTTAAAATCCAGGACAGATGGTGACTGATTTTTGGGGAAGGTTGGGGAGGCACATGGGGAAGGTCAGGGATTTCTATATGGAGGTAACAGCTTCCTGCTTCTTCTGCCCTAACTACTAGAAAGTTTCCCCAAAAGGTCAACTCTATATCTATAATTGCAGAAGATGGAAATTGATATAATAGACCTTTTTTTCCTAGAGCAAGTACTTTTGGAGTATGTAACCCACTATTCCTTATAAATACAACAGACTCCCTGGTTACATAAGAAATAATTTAAGTGTTTTCTTGGGTTGCCCTTCCTTCAGAAATACTAATATACCAGGTAAACTAACAAATGCTAAAACAGGTGTGGACAAATTTCAAAGTGAAACCTCTCACATCTCTTTCTACGACTTCCAAAGCAAAGGTCTAGTGGAAATCACAGACTTTCAGAAAAGTAAGGCTGGAAGCGGACCTCAGGAGTTCATCTAGTTCAAACTTTTACTCTGTGATTAAACTTCAGTGAGCCTGTGTTCACCACCTACCTGGCACCAGCCATTAACAGCTGACTGGGGAGAGACTGTGTTGGGGTGGACTTTTCTTCCAAACCCTAATAGGTGGGACCAGGACATTGAGAGCTGAACCTGACTGGACAATCCTGACCTGCTGAGCATAGGCAAACTCAGCCCAATTTGTGGCTTCTTGGCTCCAGTCATTGTGTCTTTTTGTGGATTGTATTATTGTTTGCAATGGTATGGGTGGGAGTGTAAAGAGAAGGAGGAACTCCTTGAAAACCCAAGGACAGAGACCATCTGTACATTCCAGCTCCTGAACAGTTAAACATACCATCAAGTCATGGCAGGTGAGAGGGCCACCAATCAGAAATTGCACACAGCCATGTCCCTGGGCAACCTTTCCAATGGCACATCCACACTGACTGCCACAAAGGCCCTGGCCATACTGGGTAAATACTCGACATGCTCCTAGTCTTGTCTCTTGCAGCCACAGAAAAAAGTCCATCTCCATCCTCCTTATAAACACCCTTCAGGAATGTGAAGACTGTTTTCAAATCCCACCTCAGTCTCCTCTTTTTCAGACTAAATAATCCTAGTTCTTTCAGCCTTTCTTCATAAGGCATGCTTCCCAGGCCTCTAATGATTTTCATTGCTCTCCATTGGACTCTCTAATTTGGCTATATCTTTCTAGAGGTGTGGAACCCAACAGTGGACACAGTACTCCAGGTGAAGCCTTACCAATGCTAAATAGAGTAGAAGGATCACTTCACTTGATTTGCAAGTGACACTCCTATTAATACAATGCAGTATGCTACTGATGTTTTTTGCAACGAGAGTACGCTATTGGCTCATATTTAGCGTATGATCCCCTGTAATCTCGAGGTCCTTTTCTGTAGTACTGCAACCTAACCAATCAACCCCCAGCCTGTATTTGTGCATGCAACTGTTCCATCCTAAGTGCAAGACTTTTCTATAATTTTATGATTCTTGAAGCTCAGAATCTTTTTACTAAGAATGTTAAAACATTCAATTGCTATAAAACTTGCTAACAGCTTATTTCAGTAAATCAAACATAGATTAAAATAGGTATTAATTAAAAAGTAGATAGTTAGCAAATGACAATACTCTCTAAACTTAATTTACAAGAAGTTTATTGTAACAATCAAATATTTTGTGTTTTATTACTTAAGAGCCTAGTCATGGCTGTAAAGTTCACCTTGAGCTTTACAATTCTCTGTGTTAAAAATACTGCCTACCTCAAGCCATGAGAAAATGTCACGTTCACTCATAGCTTTAATTTTGGCTTCATCAGCAAACTCATCCATCATACAATCCATTAGATTCATTAAGGATCTGACTAAGTTTGTGTCTGAAGTAGGAGATAATTCCTGAAATAAAAGAAAAACATTCTCTATAAAATATATATTAAATTAATTGACAAGAAGTCACATTATATTTATTACTTATTATAAAGACAATGATATTCCTGTAGACTCCATGTCAAACATATATTTTGGAGCAAAATTAAAATATAATTAAACATATAAACAAAAGAGTCTCCATATAGCAGAGCCCTGAGTATACTTTGGTTAAAATTACTAAACTTTAACTTGACAATTTTTGTTTGAAATTATTTGCTTTTCAGTTAATATTATTCATACATTTTAATAAAAACTCTCTTTATCCTACCTTTGTACATTTTCTAATAAACTCAAGACAGAGTGGAACCATTCGATCAAACAAGCCTATTATAAATTCTTTATACATAGCACTTAGCCCAGATGGCATCAGATTTAGCCATGACATCATCAGTGGCCTCCAGCCTAACATGTGAGGTTCCATATAGATCATGCCACACCTGGAAACCTGCAAAAAAGTATAATGGTTAGCTTGTGTGGCCTCTACAGATTTTCTTTCCTGCTGCAAGAGCCTTAAAATAATATTTAGTATTGTACTATGTAGATATTGAAGTTCTTAGTAGTTGGTGATAATTCTACTATCTTAAATATAAAAATGCATTGCCTCTGGCTTGTCAGTGTCCCTCTGAGAAAGACTGGAAGCATAATTCAAACTCAGCTAGACCACTGAACAACTGACTTTCCTGGGATGGCAGGTGGAATCAGAAAGATTTTCTTCAACAGACTTGGACCCCAATACCTAGTTTACAGCTGCTACTGGGATTTAGCGTTGCACATTTAGGGCACATCCAGACATGCATTTTTCTTGGGACAAGTAGCAGTGGCACATAGCAATGCTACTGCTATTTGTCCCCTGGAGAACGCCCATGAATGCACGCTCTGGTGCACACTCTTGCCCCAGGTGGGGTAGGTGAGGCTGGAGCCATCATGTGGGCTGGCCCCGACAGTGAGACGTTGGCTCCTGGGGGCTTTCTGGGACTCCAGCATTGGCAATCCAGCAGTAGGGAGCCTGGCCAGCAGCTGAAGCATGGCGCTGGCCAGCCAGGCTTCAGTTTCGGACAGCACACGTTACCACGATGTGCACCACCCCACTTTTTTCTCCCAAAAGAATCTATACAAAAAGAATAATAGTGTTCTCTATTGTAATGTGCAGTGAAACAGAAAAGTGCTGGGTAAAACTTCATAATTATTCTCATTTTAAGCATATAAAGAATTCTAATTTTAGTTTTGATGAAGATAATTATTAAGCTAAGTATTAAACCCTTCCTCCCCACCCCCATGATGCAAATTATTTGGGAATTTCTGCATGTGGGGCATGTGCTGTATGCACACTCATCTGGGCACACCCTTAGTGTTTATATTTTTATTCAATATTACAGCAATTTTAAGGTAAGTTCCTATCTCGCATGAGTGACCTATATATTTTGTTGCTATCTGAGATGCAGCTGATTGCCATTTAGGATGAAAAAGAAGTTTTTACTCTACTGCAGACAGGCCCTGAAATTGAAGGTCACACTTTCCACTAAACAACATAATATGTGTAAATAAACTGTGAAGAAGAGGAATAGTGATTGTTAATTTTACCAGAATTTGCTTAGTAGTTAATTTAAATTCTTCCTTTACAGCGCTTCCTTTTCCTTGTCAGAACTTTGAAGTCCTTTATGATTATAGGATCAGCTGGGTGGTCTGCATAACACCTCAAATAGTATTCTAATACTCTTACAAAAAAATGTAAGTCTAAATTTTAAGTCTAAAAGGAATAGCTACAAAATGTTTTACTTAAAAATAAATTGCAAGAATACAAACTATAATAGCAAATATTTTTAATTCAATGCATTGCAAATGAACTGGGAAAGAAACTGTTTTCAGTTCTGAATAATGAATATGTACAATGTAATCTTTCAAAGATAGATACTTACAGTAGCAGGGGAAGCAACTTCTAAATCCATTGGTTCAAAAATAAGGCTCATTTGTGGTGACATCTGGATGATCTCTCCACTCATAAGACATAGCTTCTTGTTATCATCCAGTACTGTATTCATATTCTCAATCCATACTGCATCTACTGGTCCATCAAAAATCAACCATTTCCTGTCTGGTGTCTTGTTTACAGAAAATCATTTTGATCAGAAAACTCAGATTTCAGTAAACTAAGTTTAGTCCAAAGAAATATATTAGATCTATTATATTTCCAGCAGTATATAATGTATTAACTGTATAGATTTAGGGAAGCATAAGGTAAGGACCCAGCCTTGCAAATATTTATACAGGATTAATACTCAATTATAATATCCTACTTTAGAAAAATAAGGTAATCTTGTCTCATGAGCCCAATCTACTTTTGACTGCAGTCTGGTTGCTCAGGGTATGGTAAGCTGCCACAAATACTCAGTATATGCACCAGGTGTATTCTATTACAAATTGTGCATACAAGATGCACTAAAGCCCATGTTATTAATACTGTAGAATTAATTTACACCTACATCACAAAATACTTGTTTGTACTTACAACAGAAGAAGCAAATGCTCTAAAGCTCACTGCGAGGATGCCATCAGACCATTCATGCGAGACTGGATCAAATTGTCCATAAAGCTGACCCATGGTTATAGACTTGGGATTTATAACAGTAATCTGAACCTTGTTTTCCTCCATCAACCCCTAGACATAAAATATATATACATATATTTGACTTTTACAGAATATATCCTTTATTGTATCATGTATTTACTCTGACTTCTCTTATACATCAGAAAATCTTCTTAAAGCACCCAACAGTAAGACTGGAAAAAATTACTATCTATGCAAACTAAACTCTAAAAATATTTTAAAGTAACTTACAGAAAAATATATTAATTGATGAAAAGAAGCTGGTAGTCAAGTTTTGTTACAAATAATATCTTGATATATGAAATTTAAATATAATAATATTTCTTTAAGAAATAAAGCAATGGCTGTAAACAGGGGAGTTAAGAAATCCAAGGTCTCTTCCCACATGTCGTATGACCTTAGACAAATCCCTTTGCTTTTTTGTGCCATGGTTTTCTCATCTATACAAAAAGAATAATAGTGTTCTCTATTGTAATGTGCAGTGAAACAGAAAAGTGCTGGGTAAAAGTTCATAATTATTCTCATTTTAAGCATATAAAGAATTCTAATTTTAGTTTTGATTACGCTAATTCTTTTCTTCAGTCCCTGTGAAATAAACAGACATTTCATTCAATGTGTTTTTTGTAAATCTGAAGTAGTTAGGAACCACTATTCCATAAGAATAAATGGCACTCAAAAGTACTAAGTCTGACAATCTTGTTATATCTTGATACTATAGAAATATGGGTTCTTTGATTATGGGAAAAATATCCCTCATTCCAACAGCAGTCCAGCAGTATCTATTCTAAAGAATCTTTCTGAATCTAAAGTCAGAGATAAGCAGTCGGGCATTCATTTATAATTAAGTACTTTAACTGCTCTCCACCTTTTGGATATATGTACCTTATCTTACTCTATGAAAAGTAAAGTGTGGAAATTCTTATAACACTGTTTCAAACAAGGCTGATTACGTCTCTATGGATGTATGATTATAGCTCCTCTTTTCTGACAACTTCTACTTAGCCATAACTTACCTTGACACTTTATTTTACTTCCCCAAAGCAAGTATTGAAAGGGAGTTATGTTTATGGCTGTGTACACACATTCAAATAATCTAGAAGAATTCTCCCAGCTTTGTTATCCTGGTAGAAAAACTTACCTGGAGATGTCTGAACAGACATTTGAGTGTTTAGCTGTTGAAGAACAGAAAGCATGCACTGTTAACACTGCGCAGCTAGGGAGTCCCTGTACATACATCTCAGGGTGTTCTTCAAGGCTCCTTCAGTCCCTCCAGAGACATATGGTAGTAGTGCACACAGCAGCCTTGATTGGCTGACCAAGACTGCTCAGGGTCAGCCAGTATCCCCCTGCAGTATAATGTGACACTCTAAGGAGGTAGGAGGAGGGAAGCAAAGCCTAAAGCCCCCTAGAATTCTAAAGGATTGTGCTGTGGCTTCTCTCAAAAGAGAATGTATACATAGATATGCTCTCCCAAGGGCATCATGCTGGGCTATGGGCAGCCAGGTCTGGGGGTCACCCAGGGTCAGGAGGAGCAGCCAAGACCCAAGGGGAGTGTGCAGAGTCTGAGTGTAGGGAAGCCAGAACCCAGAAGATCTGCATCAGCAACAAAGAGATCCAGAGGGTCAGGCAGAGCACAAGGTCAGGAGGCTAGCCAGGTCAGGTATCCAGGGGATCAAACCACAGTCAAGTCAGGGAGCCAAAGGGTCAAGCCAAACTCAGGGTCCATGGACAAGCTGGGTTGGGTATTCAGAAAATCCAACAGAGTGCCAGTAGCATCCCAAGCCAAGGGTGCAGATGCCCAGATGTAAAGTTGAGTCTTGCTGCCCACACCCTTCCTTTTCCAGGTCAGGGGTTACTATTGGAAGGGCTGTAGGGTCACCTGACCCTGGCTAACCACTCCAGTGGCAAGAAGTGTGTGTGTGGCTCAGCTCAGATGTAGCGTTCTGGCCACCTGAGTTGCCCCCAGTGTGCTTCTGAGGAGGTAGCAGAATAAGTGCCCATACCAGGCAGGCCAAGGCCCCAGGTTCAAGGGTATGGCCAAAAAAGGGAATGATTTAAACCTAGCCATTCTCAATTTATTTTTCTCCTGCAGAGGTCATTTTTGTTCTGGGAGAAAAATGCTGAACACTTGTGGCTTCCCCTGGGAGAGCAGCAGCTCACCAAGGAGAAACTGCATGTCTATATATGGTCTAAGTCAACAAAAACCCTAAAGGACAAGTCTACTAAGTAAAGAAAAAAAAAATCAACTGACCATCTCCATAGACAGCCCGAACTCATAATTATACCTATGTAAACAGCAAACATGTAATGATAACATTATAAAATATCAGTAGTATAATTTAATTACAACAATACAGATATGAAAACTCAGTCTTTCTTGAGTATTAATCATCATCATCAATGCTCAAGAAACAGCATTTGAATCTAGATTTTGAATTTGGACATAAATAACAAATTCTTTATTGGATAATTATCTGTTAGCCAACTTCTTTCTCATTCATCAGAAATAGGTAATATCTCCCTCCTATAAAATTCAGAAATGGTCCAATGCTGTTGATGCAGACTCCTAGATTAAGACACTCCCCACCTCCCCATTATTTCAGATAGGGTAAAAAAGTTCCTACAGAGCAGGTCCAACAATTACCATAAGAAAAAAAACATACTGAAAATATGATTATTATCCTTAAGGTAATTCCTTTAGAGAAAAATTCCAGTCTGTATTCTGGTTATTTAAAAGACTGTCAGGGTGGGTAGAAAGAGAAGAGCAATTGCTAACAAAGAAAATTATCAGGTAAGAAATTTCACACTCTGCTGCACAGCTTCTTTCTTCATTCATCATTAAAAAGAAGTATTGAACAGTGATTCACAGAAGTAGGGGGCAAAGGATAAAGAAGAACCGTAATAAATATTATGGTAGAATAACAAGCATATAAAGGCAAACAAACTGTAGCAGTTCCAAAAGGATGCAAAGTAATGAAAATTTACTTTGGTGATCAGAAAAAATAAAAGATCAGGTTTGTTTAACATACCATTTAGACTAACTCAAACACTTACTGATATTCAGTTTAGAAGTCTGACATGTCTGAGTAAAGAAAACCATGAGGACTGTTACCTGTCTCTTAAAGGTGCTTCACTGCAGGTCTCTAGCCAACCAACATGGAGGCATTTTAGTGTAACTGAGATCACCAGTATGGTAATTATTTATTTTATACTACAAACGTGTCTGGAGACCATGATCCCATTATGATAAACTTCATACATATAAAAAGAAAGTCCACTATCCAGAGTTTCTTTTTCTTGTAATACCAAGAAAGAAATTTGACCAGATAAACTGAGATTTCCTGATTGAGTTCTTTCTAGATTCCATAATGTATTGATGAAGACAATGGAGGCACACTGGACTGTATGGCTTTTCTAATGCCCAGGCTGTCAGTTTTAGGTAGTCCAAGTCTTTGAGAATAAAAATCTAGATTGCCTGGATTAAATTCCAGATGCACCTCCTCTGCTTTCAGTTTCCGAATGAAGCCTACATCTTATTTCAGTTATATGTCATGAAAAGGGACAGGGAAGGAGCATACTAGGATGACACTGAAATGAAATAAATACCTATTCTTTATTATTTATTCTATATCGGTCCATACTGGATCAACACCAATAAAGGGAAAATTAACATTATCGGCAATCGGCTTTTTTTGCCCGGTGTAACTGATAATGTCAGAGATAAATGCCCCATGCATGCGCACAGCTGCAGCATGCATGTAGCCAGGAACATAGCCCAGCAACTTGGAGAGCAGTGTCCAGCCGATTAGTCTGTGGGGAGGAGGGACATGGGGGGGGCACAGATTGAGGCCCCCATGGTGAGGGAGGGAGTGGAGCTGGGACAAGGTTATGTGCTGCCCAGCTGGGCATGGGACAGAGCCGCGGGCAGCTCATCCAGGGGGTGTGAGAGGGTGGGCAGGTGGTACAGCTCCCGCCACTGTGCCCCCCCCCAATTTGTGCACAGGGTGAGGGCAGGCTGCCTGCTGCAGGCTTAGGGCCAGCAGCTATGCCATCCTCTTGCCAGAGAGGGGCCTGAGCCGGGCATGTCCTTGGGGCAGGCAGGGGTGGGTGGCAGCAGTGCTGGGAGGGGAGGTTATGGGGGGACTGTAGCCACCCCAAAATTCACTGTAGCTCCTCTACAACCCCCCTTTCAGAGC